GAAATGGAATGGAATACTTTCAACATATTGCTTTCATACGTTCTCCCTGCAGTTCCCGACGAACCGTTCCCCGATGGATACAGTTTCCGATTACAATGATACGCTTCCAACTGTTATACGTTGCATATGTTGCATGTCGTGACTGTTGTGTGTGGAATTTCAACTGGTATGCACATTGTAGCTGTTATACACGATAAGTGATATGCATTACACCAGTTATACAAGTTGTGACAACTGTTATACATTGTAATGGTTAGCCATGACTAGTACATTCCATTCAGAGTGGGACGTAAGATCGCGTAAAGGTGACCAAGATACTTCTTTCGTTATAACAGTTTCCCATGCAGTAGTTGCCCGTATAACAGTTTCCTTTAGGCACAAATTGAACACAATTCTCCACTGACCATTGTCTTGCCTGCAATTTGCAATCTTAGCAGATGTATAACAGTTATAATTATCATTAGCATTGAGCCCGGATTCCGACACCCCCCATCAAATGGGGCTATAATCTCCGCACACTAAATGGCCCCGATCATAACGATAACGATGACGATAACGATCATCATTAGCGCCTTGCAAATGACAACAAAAACTAGTTTACAGTGTCTCTAATTTTTGCATAAATGTTAATTGCACAATCGACGGGGCAGGGCAGGCCCCAGTAGAGGAGGAACCAATGTTAAATTGCTCTCGTTAGCAGTAGAGGCACCATCCACCATGCACCATACCCCATGCCCCCGTGCAACACGTGCAGCGGAGGCGACACACGATCCACCAGCAGGAGGGGGAGGAGGAGGCAAGCAGAGCAACGCCATGTGTGTTATAATTGCGTCAACATTCAGTCTCTCTTGAGCGTGAAACGCGAAAACAATGTCAACAATGATATGATGGCCCCATTGTAAATGGCATTGAGAGAGGGCCACAGAGGAGAGTAGAGGCGCGGAGAGGGGTGGGGAGTGGAGTGGAGAGCACAAAAGATTGGTAGCAATTAGAGAACGTAGCCGCCTACCTGCCCGGTCTATTCAGCCAACGAAGTGCTGTTAATGCTGTGAAAAGAAGGCCCCCCCTCTGGGCGGTCTAATAGTTTCCCATGAAATGAAATGAAGCCAAGAAAAAAAGCTTAGGCGCCAGGAAAACTGATTTCTTAATGAAGATACGGCATAAGTGGAAGCTCCCCTGATGAGCAGAGAACACAATGTTGTTGCGGGGTCAACTTCCCTCTGCCATGGGCTTCTGTTTCTGCTTTCAAGATCAAAGATAATGCCACGCTCCGCAATGGAACAAGGAGACGCCTTTCAGCCCCGATCATCCCTTACCAGCGAAAGGGGGTTATCACGCACACAACATGTATTTTGTTTTCATACTACTGTCAGGATTCTCCTTTGCCGAGCAAGCTCGTGCCCATCGCTCGTTTAGATAAACACTTGAGACCTCCAATTACCAATCTCTGGCCTCCAATTCTCTGTGGCAGACATTTCAGGCCTCCCTTCTAATCTCGAGAGCAAAACCTTGGACTCCAAAGATCTCCCACTCTCTCTCTCACTCTCTCGCTCTCTAAAAGGCAGATTTTTTAGTGGTTATTTTAGTTGATATTTTTATGAAGTCTTGTAACATTTATTTCTTTTATTTACAATCTCAAAACCTGCCTTTGGAGCCAGGGTCGTGACAACTGTCGTGACAGACACTGGCACTGGCACCACCTTTTCGCCTTTCCGCGTAGGCCCCAAACCCCCAACACATTCACTTATTGTCTGGTCTGTGGCTGCCACAATTCAAGATGTATGTTTTGATACGAATACGAAAACAAGTTGTCGTTTGTTCTCGAATGTAGTTCTTGGGGTTTGTTTCTGTGGTTCGTTCCCCTCCTCCGCTCCACCGCTCCTCCGCTCCTTCGCTCCGCCACTCCACCTCTCTGCCTCGTTGGGGTTCTTTCTTGTTACGACAAATTATGCCAATTAAACGGTGGGAAAACAAGTTGGCAAAAGAGTCGGTCTGCACACGCGTCTAGCCCCCGCTCGAGTGGGTCGTAGACCAAGCCGTGGGGAGACTTGAATCTGGATCTGGATCTGGATCTGAATCGGAGTTGGGGTTGGGGTCTCTTTTGGCCGCAGTCTGCAGGCGAGTCTTCAAAGTGTCGCTGCCAGCGACGCCTCCAGAGGCGCTCCCAATCGAGAGATGCGGCGTTGCTGGGGCATATTTGGTGCCTGCATCCATCGATCGCACACAACAATCCATTTGCATAATCGAATTGATTGACTTTTATAAGCCTGACAAATGAGCCTTGCCGCCGCCACATGCCACATGCCACATGCGGGACGGCACACAGTGCCCGTGCCCGTGCATGTGTGTGTGTGTGTGAATCAGTGGCTTGGAATGAGAGCAGCGCCACGAGCCGCCGCACAGACTATTTTTAGATCCAGGATGAGGGTTTGCCACTCTCGAATGATGCCGATATTTGCATATATCTCCATCAGGTAGCAAAAACCAAAAAATGGTTCAGAAAGACGCACTGATGATGCTTTTTGGAGTGCCGAATAGTCTCTGTGTCTTTCCATCGAGTATCTACATGGAATTCTTGAAGGATGAATCGAGAAGCACACTCCTTGGTCCCCGAAAACCTTCGATCCAACTTCTTTGAGGGCTATTCGATGGAAAGATGCAACGACAGCATCATCAAGGTCTTCCACATGCCCTCGTATCCTCTGGGGTCGGGTTGCGGCTAGAGGATGTCTCCCCAGCTCGTTAGTTCTGAAAATTGAAGGTCGAAGGTCCTGGTCTTCGCGGAAAAGCCCCAGAAAATGTTTCCACCAGATGGTTCTCCTATTTTAAGATTCCAGTGATTACGTATATCATTTTTGTGGCAACCCTCGCGACCCCCTGCTCATATAAACCAAAACACATGGCGCCACGAAGGGAGCGGCTCCTCGACGACCCTTCAGGGCTAGTCGTGTGCTGCTGCTGCTCCTGCCAGCTCCTCCTGTGTTTGCTCTCTCCCCCGAATGGGTCTCGTGTGCGCATAATTAAGGAGCAGCCCCCTAGGATGAGGCCGGGAGCCACCACAGCACTTCCCCATCTCTGGCTGCTTATCCTCCACTCCAGCCACCGTCCGCGTTTTCGGGGCCAAAAGGATTTGCCGTGTGTGCGCCTGGTTTTATGGCCCAAATGGGAGAGATGGAGATGGGCATGGGCACCTACTAAAACACCATTTGTGCGGTAATGTTTCCACGAATTTCCACGAAATAGCTATGGAAATGTGACTCCTTTTTCCAAGATTAAAGATGGCAATGTTAGAGAATGAAAATCTGCTACCCAAGTAAATTTGAAGAGTACTTTTCGAGGGGCTTTGCCCCTCCAGAGGTTAACTCGCTTTTTGATCCGCACCGGACTCACCTTTTGTTTGTGCAACTCTGGGATGTTCCTTTGTGTGTCCTTGGCTTTGCGCTCCTTCGCCTCCTGTCCGTGTATCGCTCTCTCTCTCTCTATTGTTGTGTTATTTAAACCTGGCCAACACCTAGAGGCAGTCTAGAGGCAGACTCCTCTCCACACATTTGTCATTGTTTTCGAGGTGTTTGATATTCGAAGCTGCCTCCAGATCCAGCTCCTCCTACTCCTCGTTCGGCACTTCCTGTTGCTGCTTCTGTGGATGTTGTGGATACTGTGGATACTGTTTTCAGCCCCCAATCAACCCACCGCTGGCCTCATCCGTGTCAGCATTTCTGTGTTTGTGTTTTTTCTCCGCTGTTTTTGCGCAAGATGAAAATGCAAATTTCTGCAAAAGAAACCAAAAGAGAAAAAAAGGTGAGCGCCTGCAGTAAACAGAGATGCAAAAAACAAAAAACCTGAGCTCTACGACGTTTTGGGGTTCAGTGAACCGTGGAGCCGCCTCCCGCCTACCGCCTACCGCCTACCGCCCAAAGGGAGCTACTATTCCGCCAAAAGAATTGCCACACATTTCGCAGAGCCCTGGGGCGCTCCGAAGGGTAAAATGTTGCAAACGGAAGCAATTAATTTCATTTGCAACAACAGTGCCGGTGGCCAGCAGTGGCAGAGCCGAAGCCCAATCGAGTGTAGCCCCGGCGGCAGAGAGAAAGTCTTTTTCCCCCCAAAAAAAACACACCAAAAATAGTCAAAATTGATAATCAAAGAGCGTACGAGGGGTTACAGTAGCCCCGCGGGGCATTGCCATCATCATCAAAAGCATAATCATCATTTGCAAGGTGTGCTATTAAGACAAGGTGGTAATCAAAAGTGTCGCGTCACTTTCAGTAGCTCTTTCCCTCTCCCTGCCTGCCGGCCTCCCTGCCTCTTATTATCACTCTCTCCCTCGATCGTGTCTCTCCTTCTTTCTCTCTCCCATGAACAATCCGTTCAACGCATTGTAATTGTCTAATTTATTTGTTGTTCCAACAATTTCTCCCCGTTTCACAGTGCGTGAGAAATGCGTGCGTTCATCCAAAACAAAAATGTACAAAATTTCAACGGGGAATTAGAGCTGAAGCCGGCAGGTCGTGGGGCAAGCAGCTTAGTCCGGAATGGAATACATATGCACATGTGTGTGGCAAGAGAAAGTCGAGTGTACAATCACTTAACATTGATTGAAGAAGATTACGTACGAGTATGCCATTATCTTGCAGTTTATTCAGAGATTCAAGCAGCAAATGATCACAAATTTCTGCAAATTTCCAGCCCGAGATTCGCACTCGCACCTTCGGGCGACTGGTAACAGTCCATAGCAACTGATTTGTGGAATATTTCAACTCTTTTTCGAACATAGCCCTATGTGCCCTTAATCTTTCCCATATTCCTTATGACAGCTGCTCTACAAGGAATAGGAATCTCACTTACAGCTCCCCTAACCTGACTTGTTCTTTTATAACCTTACTTTCCAATAGGTTTTCTACAAAACACCTTTTCAACCGAATTCATACAAGTTTTTTAGCACAATATTCGATCTAGTAAACACTGTCACAACTCTCCCCGACTATTGTTTGATAGAAACAAATAAATTCACTTTTAATACAATTTTGAGATGGGAAACAGGATGGGCAAAAGTGCGGACACGCTGGCACTCGATACGGAAACGAAACAAACCGAACTGATGATCATGAACGCCATGACGTCGTTCTGCCTGAAAGAGTGCAAGCCGAGCCAGCACGAGTCGCACTTCAGCTCCTTGGAGGAGTGCTCCCTGGCCTGCAAGAACATATTCCTCGAGCTGCTGACGGACTTCAATCAAAGCGAGTGCCAGTGCCCGTGCAAGTGCCATGGCGCGGAGCCAGCCCCACTGGAAGGCCAGACAAATTCAAGCATTTGATGAAGCAACTTGTAAACAAGTAAACTTATTTTTTAGCCCTAATTCTTCCACATTCCTATTTCCTCAGTCTTCTACATCGAAAAGTACTTCCCAGACATCAGTCGAAATTACTGCCAATGCAAGGGCCATGGGAATGGTGACAAAATTATGGAATCAAGAGGGACTAATGAATTTGTGGAATCATGAAAAAGTTATAATAATAAATACCCAAATTGTGATGAAATTTTAATTATTATCCCAGCTCTTTCTTTTTAAACCCTACCTTTACTCCCATAACCTCACTATTTCTTTTTGTAACCTCACATTTTCTTTTCTAACCCCACTTTTGAATAGAGTTTTCTTCAAAAAGAAAAGTTCTTCATTCGAATTTGTACTTTTAGTTTAATTTATCCCTAATTTTAGTCATAAGAGAACTTAAAAGACTTTAACCTAGATCTTCCACAAAATTAAGCTCCAAAAAGTTTCCAGTTTACAAATATCCATGGAAGATATGATTTAAAAATGCTTCTTTCAGGGATCATATGTTATTACATAATTTCCTGCAACAAAAAGAGAAGGACCTTGCCACATACCGATAATTTCAGGGAATGTCTGCTCTAACGAGTCCCCAAGAACAGAAACAAGGTCACATGATTTGGCCTCACAAGCCCATAATCAGAGAGTCCCCGATGCCCCATTCCAGTGTATAATTATAGAAATTGCTGGTCTTGCTTGACATTTGCATTGCATAAACTAGATGTCAGATGAAAGTGCCAATAAATTGGCATTAGAATCGGCTTGTTTGCTGGAGCTCGAGCTCGGGCTGGAGCTGGAGCTGAAGGCTTCCTCCTGTCAATCGAGCCACTCAATTATAATCAATCAGATTTCTCATATCATTAGCCTGCTGCTGGCTGGGGCTTATTGCCTTGTCCCCCACCCCCTCCCCAAAGGCCTCCCAACGAAGAGATCGAGACTCGGGTCGGCTCTTAACGGTTTGCCGTCGGCTTGGGCCATGTGCCAATCGATGATGCTTCAGTGGTGTGCAAATATCTCTAATTATCATATCATATTGGATGTGACAACGTTCAATCCCAACTCGGGCTTTCGATGGGATTTCTGCAGCATCTTTTGCCTTCGTTTTCCCGTTGAAGGCCGCGCTCTTTGCAGATTTTGATCGGGGTTTTTCTATGTTTTCGTGTGTTTTTGGCCCTGTTTTTGTTCTTACTTTATTGCCTGCCTCTGCTGGGGCTGCTTTTTATGGGTATGGAAAAAACGAAGAAGAAGTAAACTACTTTTTCATGACCTTTTATGGGGGCAGAAGCACCAGCAGCGGCAAGAAGCCGCGGCCCAAACTCCGAGACATTTCATGCCATGTAATGTCTGGAATTGGATTGGTTCTTGCTTCGTTTAGAGGTTGTTTCCCCAAAGAGAAGTTCCAGTACCAGTCCCAGAGAGAGAGAGGCTGTTGTTTTGCCTTATTTAGAGCCCCGCTAGGTGGGATGTCTGGACCATGGACCAATCAAATCTGTGTGTGTGTGTGTGTGTGGCAGTGGGAAAATATTCTTGGCTTTATTTTTGATTCAAGAGTAAACTAGTAAAGTTTTTGCTTGTTTTTTTGATGAGCGAATATTAAAGATTAGAGTGCTAAAGGTGCTAAAGACCAGGAGAAAGCCCCAGTCTGAGAAAAAGTCGTGTACTTTCTTAAGATATTTTGTATGTAAAGTATTTTGCTGTTTTATCCCCACTTCATTAAGCGATTTGCGGCTTAAATCAAAGCCAATTGCCACACTTTTGCGTGCCACAAGAAGCAGTAAGCCATGGGAAAAAACGTTTGTAATTTGAACGAAAAAATCATCAAATCAGTGGAGCATGCAAGTGTTATACTAAACGGCATACGCCTTCAATTTTAATTGCCCGAATGGAGTGCAGTGGAGTGGAGTGGAGTGGAATGGAGGCCCCAGCCACAGCCCCATCCCCAGCCCCAGTCGTCATGGGATAATGGATAATTATGGCCAACAAGTGGATAATCTTGCAATAATAATTACAATTAAAATTACAAATACGCCTGGAATGGGGAATAGAGAATGGCATTGGGGACAGGGGGAAGGGGGGGAATGGGAATTGGCATGAAATTCCAATTAAAGTAATTGAAGAAAATCCCGTAAGAAATGTGTGGCCATAATTTATAGATACATACGATACGATACGATACGATATATTAGAACCATTCAGGGAATACAAAAATATGGGGCAATATGGGACATTTTATGGGGCAATACCATCTATATTTGTTCCTAAAGAGTTCCTCCTCTCGCCTCTCCTCTCTCTCTCTTTCATTATTTATTGTCTTGGCGGAAAATTGCATTTTCCAAGGTCTCGTCTTGGCTTAGCTGTGGGGAAAGTGAGGGGCAGCAACTGTTGCAAAATGAATGCCCGAAAGGAGGAGCAGCAGCAGCAGCAAGGAGTGGCAGAGATGCCTGCTGCATGCCTCACGTTGCATGTCAATTTTAATTGCACATTCAAGGCTGCTGCTGACAAATTGATTCCGATTCCGATGCCGATGCCGGTAGTCCCGGGGCACGAGGTCCGTCCAGTGATAAGATATAGCATTTATAAACCCACATATTTCTGCTTATAATATTATACGAGTATATTATTGATTATGATGGATTCAATCGGTGCGGTCTTATCATTAGAGATAACTCTACAGCAAAATATTCAAAGCCAAAGCAAGTTTTTTCTTCTTCTTTTTGTTTGCGCCACAAAAAGTGGCCACAGATCCGCAAAGAGCGAGAGACGGGACAGGGTTAACCAGTTTTCTCAGAAAGAAAAGTGGGGGCCGGCCGGCAAGGGGGGGCGAGGCAAGGCGAGGCGAGGCGAGAGCGGAGCTGAATGAAATGTTGCACATTGCACAAATATTGACCATAATAAATAAATGGTCTTCAAATGCCACTTGCACTCCGCATGGACTCCATTTCCATCTCGTCTCGGCTTCCACCTCTTTCTCTCTCCATCTCCCCATCTGGCTGTTCCACCTCTCCTTTGCCCCATCTACCCCCCGCTTCTGCCTCTCTCGTCTGGATGGATGGATGGATTGTGGCAATGAACTTGACATTAATAGGGCTTCCTCCAACTGCTGCCTAGCGTGACTCTGTTACCTCTCTTTTGCACTCCTCTTAGACGGTGTTTCTTTTGCATCGAAACCATTTTCTCATGCCCCTTCGCAGGCGTAGACGCGGGGCGACACAGCTCAATCCTCCGAGTGCGAGTGCGAATGCGAATGCGAATCATGGCGAAAGGCATGATTCCACAGAAAGATGCAACATCCCAGAGAAAGAATAAACAACAGCAAGAGACTGCATCCTACAGAGAGAGAGCGAGAGAGAGAGAGCGAGAGAGAGAGAGGGAGAGAGAGAGAGAGCGAACCATAAAACAAAACAAACAACGCAAAAGGCAATGGCCCCCGTAGATGGCCGGTGCATGGAGTTTTCCTCCCCATGGAAAATCAAAGCCACAGGCAAGGCGGAACTCCTGTCGCAAGCCAACTTTTCCAACGGTCCTAGGTCCGGGTTCCATGGGCTCGCGCCGGCAATAAGTGACACTGAAAGTGGCAGGAAATCAAACGAAAATGTCAACTGAAAATTGAATCAACTTTGTGGCAGACGCAGCGACAGACAGCCCGACAATACAGGAAACAGTGGCCCGAAAGGCAGCTCCGGGCCAACAGCAGAACAGCCCCAAAGGCCACAAAAGGCGGCCACGAAAATAGCTCGGGATGAAACATGGGAGGAAACAGATTCAAACGACGGATTCTCTCGGAGTCCCGAAACCCCACTCGGAAATCACGTCGGCCCCACGGCAGGATAGACAGAGCCTTCTGCCTCCGGTACAGTACGTCCCCAAAGTTAATAACCGACAGCAAAAAAGGGTCTGCAAAAAGGATTACAGCCGCAAAAGCGCGCGTCCCTCCACAAAACCAAAAAAAGTGGCGAAACATCATTTTTTTTGGGTTTAATGAAACGACCAGAAAAACCGCAATAAAAGTATAAACAAGTGTTTTGATTGCTAAATTTAATCTTTGAGAAACAAAAAAAAAAAGAAAAACAGAGAAAAAGAAATACAAAATAAAACAGAAATTAAAATGCCATAAAATAAAACAACAACAAAATACAGGCAATGAAAAATGTGGAAGAGGCATGACCGAAAGTCTTGACACTGCGATGATACCCATTATCCCCTGCCCTCTGCTCCCCCTCGCCCTCCCCTTCCCCACCGCTTGCCAAGGGCCAGTCCGTTCCGTTCCGTTCCGTTCCGTGCTCCACCTCGACCTCCGTGACGTTTGTGACAAATGACGACAAATGCGTGGCAGACATTTGGTCGCCACAAAGAGGTAAGAGGGGGGGCCTGTCCCCTTCTTTCCACAGATGAAAGCGAAATGAAGAAAAGAAGAAACAAAGATTCCACTCCACCCCCCCAACACCGCGCACTCTCCCCCTCTCCGCACAAGTGAGAGCGTGACAAAAGAAAACTAAATAAATAATTTCAAAAACAAAAACAAACACAAAACCCGTTCAATTAAAGCGTGGCGGTATGGAATTTAACGCATTTTGTCCAAATTGTTCGAAACGAGAGAAAAAACCCCTCACAAATTGTCATTCGAGTTTTTCTCCTTGAATTTTCGTTTCAGGTGTTGCGCTTCTTTTTCGGAATATTTCTTAATCTGTGGCGAATGCAACATTTTTGTAATTTCCTATGGAGATCGAGTGTTGTGGTGTTGCACGTGTGTGAGAGATAGCAAAATAGCAGTAGATACTGGTCTTCGAATGAACACTGGGGCTCTGCTTCAATGCGGAACAGGCAGTCGATTTGGCTAATGGAAGTGGTGGTGCCCCCTGAAGTGCCTTCTTATCAGAGCTGTTGTAAACAAGACTTTGATAGGGAAGGTCGCCAGAGACAAAGAGCACATGTGTGCCATAACGTGTACTGCCATGTCCCGTGGCTCGATCCAGAGAGTGCAAGAACAAAATACACGCCGTGACTGAAAAAGGGATCAAATTTAAACGTTCTTCCTTATACCAATCCCTTGGGCTATCATTGGCTTACAAAATACTCCTCATATTTACAGATGGATTCCCCCACTCCCTCCCTGCACAAATCGGTAATCGCTTTTCGTTCAAGCGTCTCCATTTACACGACACTTTAAACCATTTTAGCCCCCAATCCACCGCACACACGAGTAGAAGCCCCATC